ATGTGCTGGCCAAGCTCATGTCTTCACTGGTGGCCCTCGCCGTGACCGGGTAGGGGTAGGAGCCCAACCTATGGTTATTAAGTAACTGATGTCTTACTTGGTGAACCACTGAGGAAAGCCCTGTGGGGGCGGGCCCGTCTGTGAGTATTGCATTCTTGGCAAAATCATAGTGAAACAGAGATTTCTGAGCAGGTTTCATTTTTATATTTTTTCTGTTTCAAACAGAAAATTTGATTTATTCACTTGTGCTTTTTCTTATGAAATATTCGACTGTGTCCTACATTCCAGGTGCTGTGGTCGGGTCCTGGGTGTGCAGAGGTGAGCAGACACAGGGCTCCCATCCTCCAGAGGTTGTTGAGACACACAAATAAACAAAATCCATCAAGATTTAATGGTGATCCAAAGGGACCCTGAAGAAGTTGAGGGAGGGGGTGTCTGAAGTCATGGAACCTGAGCCCAGTTCAACCCAGAAAGGTTAGCGAGGGTTTCTGGAGGAAAGGAGGTGGACCCTAGGACTAGGAGGAGGAGCAGGCCTTCCTTAGGAAGGGGGGTGGCAGGGGCAGGAAGACCAGAATGAATGGCTCCTGAGGGTTCCCCTGGGCATGGTGCGCCAACCTTCCATTGCTAGCTGACCTTCTATCGCGTCATGTCAGCCAGGACCAGTGCACCTTGTGGGCCACAGCTCTCCTGGTTCCTTGCCGGGAGGCTGCGCCCTACGTGGTTGTGGACTCTTCTGCCATGGTGACTCTGGGTTCGTGGGGAGGCTTGGTTATGAGAGTTTGGACTAGTGCTGTTCTCCTTGTGGTTTTCTTGTCTGTAAAGTGGGTACAGTGGCCATCCCCTGAAGCAGGCTGGAGGATGGGGTGGGAGGAGGCTGGGCCTGGGAATCACGTGGTGCAGGGCAGGGGCCGGTGGTGGTCAGGCTGGTCCAGCGTGAGCTTCCTGACACCCCCCACCTCCTTGCTGGGCAGGGGAGGAGATCCTGTCTTGTTTTTGTCTGCATTGTGTTTTCAGCTGCTTTCTAAACAGGTGGGCTTACTCTCCACCTTCTCAAGAGCTGAACCGTCGAGATGGCTCAGGCGGGCTCTAGTAACAGATGGTTGAGGGGAGGTTCTGGGTCCTGGTCTGGGGGCCGCGATTGCACCACACCCGTAGGTCTCTTCTACCTGCCGCCCAGTGTGAAAGCCAACTACCGGGCACCAGCCCTGAGTGCCGCCATCAGAAGATCTGCCTTGCTGGCCACTTTCTGTTTCCCTCAAAGTGCAGCTCCACATTTAAGGAGCCCCTGGATGAACAACTGCGGAGAGCCTGTGCTCAGGCAATGGGAAGGGACTTGCCTCCATTGCCTTCTCCAAGGGGCCTGGAGCTGGGTCCTCCTGAAGCCCTACCTCTCAGTGGCGCTGCCCTGGAGAGCCCTGGCCTGGGCAGGCTGCAGTCCTGGCAGGCATCCTCCTGTTGTGGGAGTGGGCACAGGACCTGCAGAGGTGAGCCTGCAGGATGACAGGTGACAGGGACGCGGTGTTTCCAAGCAGCCTTTACTGGTCCTCGGTAGGCCTTCAAGGTCCAGACGTTAGCGATGAGGTTAGAACTTAGAAAAAAGAGGGAGAGGTTGTGTGGCCCTGGTGGTCTGAACCCCTTGGTAGTGCTACAGAGGGGACAGAACACAGCACTGTTCCCCAAGAAAACGCACAGAGCCAAAACATCTACTTCCCTTAAAAGTTGCCCCCAAATAATCCCTGTCACCTCCTAGACTCTTCTGGGGGTCCGCTCAGGAACAACGCTTTGCTTCAGATTTGATTCGATGCCCCAGTTTGCTGGGCCCCTGAGATAACAACACCTCACGCTTCAGAAGTGCCTTCAGCTTCCTTAGTGAAGTATGCAAATTTGCCAAAATAACTAGGAGGTCATTTAACATAGACAGCCCTGAATTTTGTCTTAATTTTGCTAATGTCAACATAAAGGCTAGGTGGCTTGGCTCAGGCCATGCTGAGGTCGCAGCACAGACGGATGCTTGGTTGGTGCCTTGTTTTTAGTCTAGGACTTTGGCAAACCCTGTACAGTGATAAATGAAATTTTCCTTTTGGTTGGAAAAAGCCGCGTTACTGTTGTTCTTGGTCGTGTAGCTGCGTTCCTTCACACTGTCAGCAGCCAGCTACAGTACAGCCTCTGCAGAGGATACTCGCCTCCAAGACATTTGTGTCCCAGAATTACATAATGACGACCTTATGTTTTCTTCTGTTTTCGGTTTTCTTTGAACATTCTCTTAGAATTTGCATTTAAGAAACCAGTTGAAATTAAAAGAAGTTTCAAGTATTTTGCATTTTTACAAAAATCAGCTAAGACGAACTAGTCCTGGTTACATAGTCCCTAGAATTTCAGGGCCTCTGGCTTCTGGCAGATGTGTGTTTTCAGCTGTCCATTAACATCTCCCAGGCAAACTGATTCCTTCCTGCAGCTTCCTCCTCCTCAGTCCCTGCCTTAGGAGTGGCTCAGTGGCCCCCTGTGGCCTGGAGGGGTAGGCTTGAGAAGCCAAGGACCTCCCTGGACTTCCCACGGAGTGCCTCACAGTTTGTTATGTGACCTCCAAACTCTCGCCCAGCCTTCATCCCCTCTCCTTGAGCCCCCACTGCAGGCTTCCTTGTCACCATCCCAGATCAGCCATCCCATGGGCCTGCCTGCCATCTGTCTCATCTACCCAACCCTCCCTGTCCCAGCTCTCTCCTCTGGTGGGGACTTCGTGCCTCCAGAGTTTCTCCTTGTCAGCAAAACCTCTAAAGCCCAGCCATCGCAGCTCTGCAGGCTTCTTTTGTGCCCGTCCCTCTTGCAGTCTACACCTCAGCCAATTCTTCGAGGAGATCCGTCCTGTGCCATGTGCTCCCCGTCTGCCCTACTCTGCTCCCATTGCTCCATCCTGGCTCCTGGGCCTGGGACCCTACCACACTGTGTTCTGTGCTCTCTGGAGCCTTCTCATATTGCCTCTGGAGCTGCTTCTACTTCCTGAGCTTCAGACACCTCAGGCCCACCCTCCAACATCTCTACTGGTGCCCGGGTGTCCAGCGGTCCCTTCCTGTTCTGGTGCTGGGTACCCAGTCTAGGCACACTCCATGGGTGCCAGACTTCGTCCACAGACTGCCATCCCTTCAGACGTCAGTTGCAGGCACTGGGTTCCCAGGTTGCCCGTGAGTCTGTCCCGCCTCACTTCAAAGTCAGGGTCCCCATCCGCCTCCCTTCCCGGATTTGCTGGAAGCACTCCCAGGAGGCAGGAGGGCATTTTGCTTGCCTTTGCTGTCAGATCATAAAGTCTGTACCTCGGGGACAGCCAGCCAGGAGAGCCATCACACAGGCAGGGTGACTGCAGGCAACCTGCAGACCTCTCCCATTTTGGGGGGTGAGGGGACGGGCTGGGATCTTCAACCCCATAGTGAGGGCCTGGTCTTCCTGGTTGCCTACCTCACCTGAAGCTGTTAGGGGTCCCCCGACATCTCCTTATCATACAAGACTCCTTATTTCTGGACATTTCAAAGGAAGAATAACAAAATTTGCTGAAATTGCTGTGCTGCATCTCAGTGACATCCTGAGCTATAAATGGCTCCAGGCCTCTGCAGCGCCTGACTGTGTGTCCCAGGAAAAGTGTCATTTCTCACCTGCCTTCCACCTAGTGAATTCATTTCCTGGTGTCGGATCAGCTCCCCTGCCTGGCCCTTGGGTTCACCGTCCTGTCCTGGTGCGAGGACCCTTGCTTACACACTCCATGCAGGGGCGGCTCCATCTTTAGCTTCTGCCCCAGATATTTGGAAACAGACATGAACAGGTAGCTACAGGATAAAGTTCATGGTGGCTTTATGTGCATCAGTCCAGCAGTGACACCTCCTGTGCCGTCCACAGGTGAATGTGCAGTGGCTGCCTATGTGATCTGTATCATGTGCATGACAACACACATACTAAATCTGGGGCCCTAAATTGCCATCTTTACACCAAATGTCATAACCCTACATTTCAGCCTAAATACACTGTGAAGACTTCTAAATATCATGCATATGTATTTTATATGCTCTTTCTAGATATACATGACGGTAGGTATATTTTGACATATTATACACACATAGAGTAAATATGACTTGTTCAATTAGGATCCCGTTGTTGTGGTTGTGTTTGACTTGGTGTTATTGGTCACGCATTCATATATAAAGGTAGGAAAGGCATGTCCAGTTCATTCTACCTTCTTTTCTATTCCCATCTCCCTCCCCCCTTCATTTTCCTTTGTCTAGTCCAGTGAACTTCTAATCTTCCATTACCTTATTGTGGGTTAGAATCCACATATTTTTTAATTTGTTCCAATTAGTTATACATGACAGCAGAATACATTTCAATTCATTGTACACAAATGGAGCACAACTTTTCATTCTCTGGTTGTACACGATGTCGAGTCGCATTGTTGTGCAGCCATACATGTACCTAGGGTAAAGATGTCCATCTCATTCCACCATCTTTCCTATTCCCATCCCCCCAACCCCTCGCCACTACGGATCAGCATCCACCTATCAGAAAACACATATTTTTAAAAAGATGATCTTATTTACTTTGAGAGAAAGGACACATGAATTAGGCATATTTCAGACTGTTTTTTAGGCATTTAATTTGGTGTTTTGCTCACGTGCTTTTCAGTATAATAAAATACAGAAGCATGAACTCCCTGCTCTCCTACTTGGTGGATTCTTGAAAAATAGTGAAATCTACAATTCCGAATCATACCTGAAGGTGCAGAAATGCCTGGGATTATCGATGTTTTAAAGCCAGATACTTGAAACAATAAAGCTGTTCATATGACATATTTAAATTGAAACAAAATACTTGCATTTGGGTTTTTTTTCTTTTCTTTTCTTTTCCTTTTAGCACCTTCTGAGTTGGTTCTGTGTACTGCGGGTGTTTTTAAATCCTGTATGATAGCATTACATGAGGCGATCTGGAAGAAGTATAAACAGTTTTCATTGATTTTTCAGATTCTTTACAGAGTTGGAAGCAAGACATCAGAATAACATCTTTATCGATGACATCAGTGACATTGTGGAGAAGCACACGGCGTCCACCTTTGACCCCTATGTGAAGTACTGCACCAATGAGGTCTACCAGCAGCGGACGCTGCAGAAGCTGCTGTAAGCCACGGTTTCGGTCATCCGGTAGCTTGTGCTCATGGATCAGAATGAATTGATCCCTAAATGATATTTAGAAATGCTTCCTGGTGAGCCGTTTTCCAGGGAGAAATATTTAAGAGGATTAATTTTGGATGTTCATAGATGAAGTCTAGTCTGTGGGGAGCTTTTCTCCGAAACACATGACTTTATGGTTTGCTGCTGTCCTTGGGTTTGGTTTCCTTTTGTTTTCCTTAGTTGTTAAAAGGTACAGGGGTGATCTGCACTCACCCCTCAGTTTTCTAACCCAGTAACTGGCAATATATTGTTTGCCTGGGGCCCAGAGCGGGTTCTTAAGTGAGTAGGATGGAAACAGGGCTCTGGGCTTCTCTGCCTGTGGGCACTCTCTCTGTTGACCACTGGAGTAAGTGCTTCATAGGGGCTTCAGAGTTCCTTCCACCTTTGTACCTGTGCTGAGGAGAGAGGAGGGAGGGCCTAAAGAATGAAATAGGAAAACCTGTTCTTGATGATTTAATTATGCTGCAAACAGGAGTCCAACATTAACTTTCCCGCCAACCTTTTCTTTCTGACCTTCTGAGCTGCCTGAGCTTTGGTGTGGGACAAGCCACCCTGGAGCTTCAGCAGCGTCGTGGGTTTTATTTTTAGGGTTCCTCTTGATCATGAGCAGCTTTTGGCATTAGAAGGCAGATGCATTTTGCTCTCACCCAGCTTGGGGCCTCTGAAGGTTGCATCTTGCTTGCTGCAGTGGTGGTGACCATCAGGGAGCTCTAGCCAGCTCTGTGGGGTGGGTGCTGAGGTCTCTCTGGAGGGTGGGGCTGGTGATGGCCCTGGTGGCTGCATGGAGCAGTAGCCAGAGCCCCACGTTGGCTACCAGGATTGCTCATGCCCTCTCCCCTCACCTTGCTGAAAAGTTCGTGGGGGCAGGCTGCAATGTTGCCTGCTGCTGATGAGGTCTCTGGTATAAAGAAGGGTTTGCATGATGGACATTTGGGGCTGTAAGTCCTTGTCCCGGGGCTGTCCTGTGCACTGTAGGATGTGTAACAGCATCCCTGCCCTCTGTCCAGAAGATGCCAAAAATGTCTCCAGAAGTGATGGAAGTTGCCCTAGGGGGCAAAGTCACACCCTTTACTTCCCTAATCCCTGCTTCTCTGGTTGCCGTGGAACTGCTGGAGAATGCAAGTTCATGTTGGAAAGCAAAGCCCTGAACCAGAGCTAACTTTAGTTTGCATTTGGTTTTGCTGGATTTAAAAAAAATGTGAATAGTTCCTGCTACAAGTTAGTTGACTCCAAAATAAAGATCCTGTCTAAGTCTCCTGACTGCTCCCCTCATGGGGACATTCTCTTGGAGGTCATTGTTAGCTGTGTTTTCAGGGCTTTGTGTAGTTGATGTGCATCGAGGTTAGAGCAGTGACTCTTAGGGACACTAGAAATTCTGGGAATCTTTGAAACCAAGTAGATAGTGCCAAATCCATCTCAGACCATTCAGTCTGAACCCTTGGAGCAGGAGGAGGGACTGAGACCTGAGTGATCCCAGTGTGCCACCAACATGGAGTTTGCTTTTAGCATCCTGAATCTTCTCAAAGCTATCAGGGAAAGGACATGTAAAACTTCTCAATTTGAGAAAATGAAAATAAAACATTTCTGTTATTTGTCATTCTATGTTTTTACTTTTTGTAGCCTTGATCCAAATCATCTAATTTTCAAACTTTTTTCTTTTTAATTTTTGGTACTGAGGATTAAACCCAGGGGCTCTAAACCACTGAGCCACATCCCCAGCCCTTTTTATTTTTCCAGTTTGAGACAGGGCCTGGCTAAGTTGCTGAGGCTGTCTTTGAACTTGGGATCTTTCTGCCTCAGTCCCCTGAGCCGCTGGGATTACAGGTGTGCGCCACCGCTCCTGGCAGTGTTTTTATTTATTTACTTTTAGTCATTGCCCCAACCTGCTTCCTGGTTCTTTTTCTTGCTTTTTTCAAGGCATGGGAGTCCAGTTGTGCTCCCTGGCACCCCCTGCCCCTCCCCTGGGAAAGGCAGGTGCACTGGAGGCCGCAGACTTCCACAGGGGGCTCAAGCAGAGGGGGAGGTGGCACAGGTGCATGGGCTAGTCAGCAGACCTGGGAGGTCTCACTTTGGTTCTTTCCAGGCCCCAGGTCTCCTAGGGGTGGAATCAGATACCTCTAATCCCCATTCTTTTCCTGGGCTCCTGTCTGGCCTGTAAAAGTCAAGTGCATGGATCTTCAGGGTGGTGTCCTTGGGAGTAGCTATGAAAACACCGTGGCCCGATCATCTTGTTCTTCATCAGCAGAGGAGGAGAGGTGTGCTGGCTTTCGGTATGAGAAAGAGGACCTTAACAAAGGGCCAGATGCCTCTTGGTGCCAATTCCAGCCCCAACAATATGTCTTTCCTAGGTGGTGGTCCAGGGCCAGGGCAGGGGCTGCAGCACGTTTCAGTGATGGTGGTGTGGCTCCAGGGATCCAGAGGGGCAGCTAGTCTGAATACTAATTTATACCTGACACGTTCATCGTCACACCACCCAGTCCTCTTCCTCTGTTTATGTCCCAGTTCTAGTAACAGTATTAACAGTATTGCTAACATTGTCACATGACACCACATCTGATCTTCAGCCTTGAAACATGAGAAGCGGAAGGGCCATTTCTATTTCCTGGGTTGATGTTGTTTTCATGTGTTTCAAAATCGTTGAGAAGGGGTGAGCGCCCTCGATGTTCCCTGGTACAGTTTCTCTTGCTGCTTAGCTGGATAAGGAAATATTTTGAAGTTTCTCTTTGCTTTGTTTCCCCTCAGAGCCACCAACCCCGCCTTCAAGGAAGTACTGTCACGGATCGAGTCCCATGAAGACTGTAGGAACCTGCCCATGATCTCTTTTCTCATCCTCCCCATGCAGAGGGTGACCCGCCTTCCTCTGCTGATGGATGTAAGACCTGATCTGTGGCCTGTCCCCTGGGTAGCCGTGCTACTGTAAATCTGATAAGCAAATTAGCCTTATTCCACTTACACTGAGGCATATTCCTTCTGTAAAACCCTAATCCCACGAGAAAGTGCTCTTTGTTGGAAAGTCTTCCTGTGTTGGATGTCTCTGGAATTTATCTTCAGTTTATGCCTGTGCCACCCCTCCGGTGGAGCTTGATCACGTTTCCCACCCACCCGACATTGTTGAAGTGGGAAGTGTATTGGCTTTCTCAAGGACAGAGCCCTGGTTTCTGTTCTGGCTGAGCTGAAGGTAGGACCCTGGGCAACTCACCACTCTGTGTGAGCCTCAGTTTGCTCAGCCTGGTCATTAAGACCCCTCCCATTTGGGTGTTCCAGGGTGCTCTAAGGCTTCTCTTTCCCATGGGAGGCATTACAGGACACAAACCTGGGCTTGCTATGCAGGGCACACTGGTTTTGGAATCTTAGCATCCTGAGTATGTCAGTCAGAGTCCCTCTGGGAGCAGAGCTGGGCATGCTGGGCAGTGAGCAGAGGCTGCCTGGCACACCCTGCAGCTGGAGAGCAGCTGGCTCGGGGCAGAGGCCTGCATGCCAGGTGTGCCAAACTGCAGCAGATAGCAGGGGCAGGGTGGGCAGTGGAGGACAGCCAGCTCCACACAGGTCTCACCCTGCCAGTGGGCCAGGCAGCGTCTTATTCTAAGGGATTACCCAGGGATTGTTATGTAGCAGGTGATTGAACTGCAAAACTTGAAGTTGTGAAAACCACATTGCTTGTTCTCAGATGGGTATCCATCATGTTTAAGGACAGAATATAACTGGGTTATCAAAATGAAACTTTGAGACTATTGCTTGAACAGAATGGGACTCCAGAATCAAAGGAACCATTTTTGTCCAGTGCTGGCTGTTTAAGCCAAGATTGCCTGGTGGGTCTGAGCTTTTTTGGGTCACAGACCCCTTTGGGATTCTGAGTAAATCTATAGTTTTCATTCCTAGACAATTCACACGTGAACAGATTTTTATATAAACTTGTGTGCCTAGGCTCCACCACGGGGTGCCTGCCCGCAGGGACACAACCAGGATGTTTCATGTTGCTTTTGTAGCTATTAATGGGTCATAAAATTGATTTTCAAATCACAGCAGTTTTTGAAAAATGAAGTAGAGTGGAATATGAAGAGCATGATGTGCACATGTCTCATGATATGTTTAAATGTTATTTCATTGAATAGTCTTGTTTCATTTATGTGCACATGTGTGCTGGTTGCAATATAAATTTATTTCTTACCGTGAGTGGATCATGGTAAAATAATGGGAGAACACTCACGTAAACCCACTGTGGTACATTCTGTGCTTCTCACGTGGAACAGTCTGAAGCCTGACTTTCTGGTACTCAAATTTCAGGTCCTGATGGCTTGTGGGTTACCATACCTTCCACCCCTGCCTGATGCTGCAGACCTCTTCTTTCTGCCATGTGCGGGAATCAGGCCATCTGGGCAGAATCTAGATGTACTTAAAATATCATCTTTTTAATTTTTAAAATTTTTCATTTGGAAGTTTAATTAAATTTGTTAACCAAAAGGAACATTTTCAATAATTAACATGGTTCCCTGGGCTTTGTGTATCATTTCAAAAGTTATAAGTACAGAGTGAATATCTCCTATTCAGAATTCTTGGGATGAGATGTTTCAGATACTGGAATTTTTTTTTTTTTTTGGATTTTGGAACAGTTGCATATGTGCCCTGAGGTTACCTTGGGGAAGGGCCCACGGGTAAACAGGACATCTATTTATGCTTTATGCACACCTTCTGCACAAAGACTGAAGATAATTTTATACAATATTTTTTAAAATTTCATGCATGGAACAAAGTTTCATGGTGTGGAATTTTCCATTCTGGCGTCCTGTTGATACTCAAACTTTTGTGGATGTTGGAGCATTTAGGATTTCAGATTTTCAGATTAGGCACGGTCAATTTGTAATTCAGTTTACCTTGAGTTGACCCTCTTCAAGCCCAGTTTTACCTTAGAACTAACTTGTGCTGTATGCCAGGTGCTTAAATGAGAACTTTACGTGAATTATTGTTTAACCCTTGCAGCAACCTATTATGTAATATTGACATTATTCCAGTCTGACAGATGAAGAAACTGAGGCCAGTACTGACCGGTGACTTGCCCAAGGTCATGTAACTAGCACAGGGCCAACCTGTGGTTCGGAACCAGGCTGGAGTCTGTCCTCTTACGTGGCCATTCCCTGGACCGTGGGTGTAAAGATCGTTTCCCAGCTTTTTCAGTTGGGTTTTAATGTCGTCCTTGTGCATCATGTTGGTGCAGCATGCCGTGTTCTGTGAGTGAGAGGATGTGGCTGAGCGTGGTGTATTTTCCTGGGTGAGTCAGTCCACCATGTTGTTTCTTCTTTATTGCAGACCATCTGCCAGAAAACCCTGAGGGACTCTCCCAAGTACGAGGCCTGCAAGAGGGCCCTGAAGGAAGTGAGCAAGGTGAGCGCCGGTCCCCGTGGCCCTTGTGCCCCAGTGGTCCCCCGTGGCCCCACAGTGGTCCACGGTGGCCCCACCGCGGTCCCAGAAGGAGCCTCGTGTTTCTGTGGGTCAGCCGTGCTTGCCCCCTTGCCCTGCGTTCTCCACTTAGCTGGAAAACAGGAATGTTTGCTGTGTGCAAGTGAAATTGGTTCTCCCTGCTCCAGACGGTCCTGGGTCATGGCTGAGCCGTCTCGACCACTCCTGGTGGTGAATAGCTGCTGATCCGACCTCTCCTTCAACAAATATTTATTGAGTATCAACTACTGGGCTGGGCATGATGCCAGCTACCAAAAATATGGCGATGAATAGGACCAATGTGGTGGCGTCACTCGTGATGTGTGCAGTGTAAAGAGGAGGTCAGGCAGTAAACAGAGACGGTGGCGAGTGACAAGGAGATGCTAGCTGAGGGTGAGCATGAGGACAGCCTCCAGCCAGGGCTCAGAGAGTGGAGGGACCCAAGGCCAGCGAGTGATGAGAAGCCTGAGGAACCCAGGCCAGGAGAGGGCAGTGGGCAGGGGGCTGGCGGTGGGGGTCAGTGACTTTGTCCTGAGCTGGTGTAAGAAGTCACAGGGTATTGTGTGAAGGTGACAGTGGGGACAGGACCAGGGAGAACCCAGGTGTGGAGTTCAGGTATCCTTGATTCGGCAGGAGGCGAATGCCAGGGAGGAGGGGAGCAGACCTGCGGGTGGGCTGGAGGTGGGTGTGGTGAGCATGGTAGGGTCAGAGGTGAAGGCAGATGGTCTCTGGCTGGGCAGCTCACTCGCCCTCTCACAGGACAGAGGCAGGTGCTGTGAGTCCCACTTTGCACATGTTGCGATTGAGAATCCATGAAACACACAGGTGGCTGGAGAAACAAGCCTGGACTTCAGAGGAGAGGCCCAGATGGATGTGGGTTTAGGAATCCTCGGGACGGGAAGGATGGGGAGTTGGGAGCTGGGGTGGGAGGAGCAGGCTGGGATTGAACCCTGAGGTGCTGTACCACCCCAGCCCTTTCTATATTTTATTTGAGACAAGAGTCTCACGAACTCACCGAGGCTAGCCTGGAATTGTGGTCCTCCTGCCTCTGCCTCCTGAGCCTTCGGGATGATGAGCCAGGACTCAGAGGTCTCTCACTGTGATGCCACGATGCCCTGGGGAGAGGTCTTTTCATGCCTGTGGCACCCGTATCTGAAGGGGTTGGTGCTGCTCTGCTGCACACCATCAGTGACTTCATTGCTCAGGACGCCTGGGGAGCTTCTCCCTTTCTAACCTACCCTGGGGGGGGCTACCTGGGTTCCTCAGAATCCCCCTCGTGGGACAATTCCATCTTTTGCTAATGGATTTGCTGTTGGGAAGTTTGAGGAATAAGATGGTGATCCACACTTATAATGTCATTTTCTTACATTTAAAAAGTGATGCTGGGCCTGGTGGTGCACACCTGTAATCCCAGTGGCTCAGGCTGAGGCAGGAGGATCATAAGTTCAAGGCCAGCCTCAGCGGTTTAGCAAGGCACTAAGCAATTTAGTGAGACCCTGTCTCAAAAGGACTGGGGATGTAGCTCAGTGCTAGAGCACCCTTTCCGACCTCAGTGTGATTGGTGTGTGTGAGTATGAGTGGGTGTGTCCTCTGATTGTATTATCACCCTAGCACCTAAAACAGGAGGTGCTAAGTTAACTGCTCTTTTTCAATGAATGATATATTGGTAAGGGCATCTATTTCTGTATTTGTGGGGCTCCTATTGCAGAAGGCCCCTCCTTGGGTTCTATTCATTTAGTTCTGTGTTATAATCAGCATTTTATTTTATTGTAATGTGCACATTATTTTATCTAACAAATCAGTAGCATTAAAATAAAATTTCCAACCTTTATTATTAACAATCATATTCATCTTTATGGCCAGTGACCCTTTTGTGGACATTTTTTTTTCCAGATTTCCCAGTTAATAAAAAATTAGAAATTAAGTTTGTTTTGATATTGACCAGAGAGTCAAGTATATATTAGGTACTTGGCAGAAGCCTGTGGTGGAGGATTCAGGGCTGCAATTTAACTGACTTCCTTAGCATGGCCATCCTTGGGGTCCGTTGGCCATCAGGCCCCCCAAGACCTCCTCTTTCTGCACCCCATTTTTGATCCCATGCTGCACACAGCCTAGATTCCGCCTCTGAAGTTTGGTGGTCTGATTCCTGCTGCTCTGGTCTGGAAGTGGGCAGGGGTGCAGCTGAGGAGGTTGAGTGGGGTTCCCAGCATAGAGATGGGAGCAGGGGACAGGAAAGGGCGGGATGGGTGGAGAGCATGGTGTTGGGGAACACCTGAGTGTCAGGGTGTTGCAGACAGAGCCTGTGTGCGCTTGAAATTTCTCAGGACTTTTTTTTTTTTTTTTTTGGTGGTGGTACTTGGAATTGAACCCAGGAGCACTCTACCACAGAACTACACTCCCAGCCTTTTTTATTTTTTTGTTTTTAGAGAAGTTCTTGCCAAGTAGACCTGGCTGGACTTGAACTGGCCATCCTCCTGCCTCAGCCTCCTGAGTAGGTAGGATTACAGGGTACCACTGCACTTTCTGAGGACCTTCTTTTCCTCCCGTCTGGCCACACTGCTTCTAACTTAGTAGAGCATCTTAACTGTGTAAAACTGAGAGTTCTTTACCCATGGGGGTGAGTCCTGGGCCTTCCTAGGTGCTGTCAGTCCTGCGGGACCTGCAGTAGAAGTGAGGCTTCTGCCTGGCCCTCCTAACCTTCTGCTTCTGTTCCAGCTGGTTCGACTGTGCAATGAAGGAGCCCGGAAGATGGAGAGGACCGAGATGATGTACACCATTAACTCCCAGCTGGAATTTAAAATTAAGGTATCCTTGTGCCTATGTTAATTATTCCTTTTGCTTAAATCTTATCAAAGTAGGGACAGTTGAGGGCAGCCAAGTGAATAGGAATTTGCTTTTCAAAGAAGGGCCCTCAATTGGTAAGAGAGCCTCAGCTGAAGCAATTCTGACCCTGCCTCTCCAGACAGAAGCACCTTGCTGGCCAGGAGCTCTGTTATCTAAGGTGTACCTCCAACCCCTTGTTCCTGTCCTAGGACACCAAACTTGAGGGAAGGAGGTAGTTAAAACAGTAGAATTTTAGAGTTGAAAAAATACATTTGTCTAATATTTTCAAAATGTCCTGCACACAGTGGTACCCCATGAGCTGGGCCAGGGTGTTCCCCTAAATCAAATAAGGGCCTTTTTTTTTTTTTTAAATCTTTGTAACAAACATTGTTAATGGAAACTTTTTATTTTTAAGTTCATTTTTTTCCACAACTTTTTCTGGACGTGTGCTGCTATCACGGCCTGTCTGATTCTGCTCTTGAATGGATGGCAGGGTGAACAAAGAGGAAAGTGACAGTTAATGGCAAATCTAGGTCAGGGCCATTCTTTGTTGGCTCCCAGTGAGTTCTGAATGGGAGAGAGGGCTCGTGATTGTGGTTCTGATTAAGCAACTTACAATGACTGCCCAGATGTTTTCCTAGAAAAAGTGTTTCTAACTCATGCAGTGGAATTAGAGGGATCAGAATTTCATGGTGTTCTACAGAAAGAAGGTTCTCTGCCACATCCTGAGTTTTAGGACCACTCTTGTTTTATAGTCACACCATTTAAATTTTATCAATGAGGAAAATGAAGCTGGAGAGTAAGTAACTGTCAGCAAAGTCACTAGGTGAGTGGTGGGAGATTCAGGAGCAGGGTCCAGGTGCCCTGAGTGGTAGGTTGGAGTGAACTTTTCTGTTCTAACCCCCTGACGGCAGTGATGGGGATGCAGAAACCTGGCTTACAAAGGGAGATGAAGGGTTAGCTCAGACCGCTTGGAAACACTGGGGAGTACTGATTAGAAATACAACATCTGAGGACCTTGTCACACCTCAGGGATAAAAGCTATTTCTACCGAGTTCATTTTCAAGATGAGAAAATAGGTTCAGAGAGGCCAGGTGATTTGCTCCGATCCTCATAGCAGATTTCCTGAGCAGTAGGAGCTGTACAGGGGCCACTCGGGAGTCACGGGAAAGTTCTCATTAAAGAAGGGACCCAGGGCGATGTGGTTCAGCAGGACAGCCTCAGCGCTGTGGGAAAGGCCCACCAGCTCACTCCAAATCCAGACATATTAAAAGAAAAGGTGCTCATTTCATCTATCTGAAATTTCACTGTGAAGGGAAAAATAAAAAGCATAAAAAGGTAGAAAGGTAGGTAGCAAACTGGGAAGAAACAGTTGTAACTCACATACAAGTGAAAGAGATAATGTCCCCGTTATGTAAGATGCAAGTGATAGGTATATTAGAAAATTACAAGTTAGAACGCAAAGATGCTTTACTTCACTGAGGAGAAAATCGCCATTTGAAATTAGGATAAAGAATTCCAGCCTTTAGCTTTATACATGATCCAAAGGTTTGAGAACACATGTTATTGATGAGGTTGTAGGAAAGGGGAATTTTTGCATGTTGCTGGTAGAAAAGATTGTTACCACCCCAGTGGTGAGCAGTTCGGAAAATACCATCAAAATTACAAGTGCAACTTACTACCACCCAACAGCTGTACTTCTGAGACGTCATTCTGTACTTTGTGTGTATAAAATGAAATAAATAGTTACTGTAGTATTTGTAACAGCCAGAAGATTGGACATAGTCCCAATGTCTATCAAAGAGAATGATTCAATAAATCATAGCATTATATGAAACATACATTGTTACAAAATAATGTGATATAACTCAACCAGGCTTTCAAAGAGAGTGGTGAACGGGGGCGCCCACATGTGAAGCTGTGTGTACACATCACTATTACATATTGATTAATGCCTACTGTTGGTAAGGACAGATTTCATCACCTGGTTTTTCAATCTTAAGTGACTCCTCTTTAGCTTACCCTTTCAGTTATGATCCAGTGACATTTTCTCACTGACTATGGGGTTTCTATACCAGGGACCAAGGTGTCTCCCTTTCTCCTGGAGCATGCACTCAGTGATTCTCCAGTTGCACTGCGCCTGTGCCGCACTGAGATGGCGCGTGGCTGATGCCCCTCATTGTGTGAAAGCGCTTCTCGTGTTTAGCCATGGCTGAAACCGTGGCCGTGACTGGGCTTGGCCCTGTGCTGTCTCTGCAGCCCTTCCCCTTGGTGTCCTCGTCCCGGTGGCTGGTGAAGAGGGGGGAGCTGACGGCCTTCGTGGAGGACACGGTGCTCTTCTCCAGGAGGACCTCCAGGCAGCAGGTCTACTTCTTCCTCTTCAACGACGTGCTCATCATCACCAAGAAGAAGAGGTGAGCCTTGGTGAGCCGCTGCCACCAGACCCCCGGCCCAGGAGTGCTGGACCCACTGGCCTGCTGGGGTGACCGCCCTTGCAAACCCGGGGAGGGGAGACTCGGCTTCTGCACAGTGGGTCGTGGTTGTGTCTGCACATCGTTCTCCTTAGATGGCCTCTGGTAATGGGGTGAGCCATCTAGCCGACCTCGGTGGGGCTTGCACGGGGTGCAGGCCACACTCCTGAGCTTTCACCCTGTGTGGCAGTCGGTCCTCCACAGCCCTGGGTGGGCACTCTCATGGCTCCCATTCAGTGTCTTTCAAACTCCAGTCACAGGGCTTCTGTATAAAACAGATCACATGGCTAAGGGACAGTACCAGTGCCCCTCGTGGCATACTTTGAAGTCCGCTGTTCCTGATGACTGCTGATTTCAAGGCTTGCCCATGACCTGGTTGTGCAAACCATACTCCCTTTACGAGGCACAGAGCTCATTAGTGGGTGGCCAGCTGTGGCTCGCCTCTGCTGGTGTGCTCACGTCTGGCCCCTGGGAACTGGCCAGGAGGAGTGCCCTGGAGCCTCTGCTATAGTCACGTCACAGACTATCCCCCCACGACACGCACAGGCACACACTCCACACCCTCCTTGGCTCTGGGAACGTTTTTTATAAATGTGCCCAGTGAAGTATTTTCCTGCTTATTCTGTACTAGTATTTTATCTTCCCTAGAATCTGGACTTGGATTTTACAAAAATGTGACTCAGTGGTGTATTTCCATGTACGGAGGAAATAAGGATGTTCTGAACTGGTGGCATGTGACAGGCTAGGCTGGTTCACAGGGTAAAACTAAGCAGCGTGGAGAGTGACATAAACAACCCTATGAGAATAGGAAATAAATGTCCAGATTTATCATGAAATATCAATTTCAGTGCTGCTTCTCAGGTGCTTACTTTGTAGCTTGATAATTTGAACTAAATTGAAACACAGATTGAGCTTTACCTCTATTTTTTTTTTTGGAGACAGGGTCTCACTGAGTTGCTTAGTGACTCACTAAGTTGCTGAGGCTGGCTTTGAACTTGTTGTCCTCCTGCCTCAGCCTCCTGAACCTCTGGGATTACAGGCATGAGCCACCATGTCCTGCAAGCTTTTCTTCTTTATCAGATCATATTATGAATTACTCAGCTATTTGGCTGTATAGGCAAAGGAAAACTTTAATATTGTTTACTTTGAAAAGCCATTCTGTGACTGAGACAAATGTGTAAATATGCCAGTTTTTATTTTGTGAAAACAGTGTTTCCATATCTGCAAGGAAAGGTTATTTCTATGAGCTGAGGCAGTCTAAACTTATAGTAGCTAAGTAAATTCCATATATAAAGATTGGAGAGAAATTATAATTTTTGAATTCTTGTATTTTATATGGCTCTCCCATGAGATAGCATGTTTCTTTGGCTATGCAATGTTTTGCTTTTAGGCGAGGGTGATTATACATGTCTCTTCAAATGCCAGAATTCTTGACCTTTGAACATTTTCCATTTGTTGAAATATTTGTTCCATCTCAATGGATCAAAAGCTTTAATTAATCTCTTGACTTAAATATGACTTAAATAAAATAGTATAGAGCCAATCTTAAATAGTAATGCCATTTTGATTTTGATGACTTCAGAAGCTCGAAGAAAATCCTGAGGGTATTTGAAACATCACTGTGTAACTTATTTTCTAATCTGTACAGACTTCTGGACGTTAGGACTAAATTCTGCACTGCCCCCATGGGCCTACTGCACCCGCCAACACGGGTGGGTTAGCCGTTGTATTTAATGTTGCCACCCAAACCACCCCACCTTCGTTTGCTCAGGTGTGTTTGAACTTGTATTCGGAGCAAGATATTCAGCTCCACTGGAGAGGGCAGCCGAGAACCTGCCTTTGCTTTTACTCTACCTGGGGTCTCCTGGCCTCCCAGTGAGCTCATCGCGTTTCTAAGGTGCTCTCACTGAGGGAGTAGCATCAGAGGCTCTGCTTGCTTATGGCCGGAGATGTGGTGAAAGGTGACAAGAGACCATAGACTCTTGATGAACAGGCTGGTTAAAAATGTACAGTATGCACAGCCGTATTTACACAATAGCTTCCAAGAGGCAACTGCAAATGCTTTGCATGCCAGAGATGGCAGCAGCGGAGATACAGCAGCTTTGAGGAGGGCCATACGTGAGACGTGGCCATGAGCTAGAGATAAGGAGTCACTGCCTGTGCCAGCTGAGGAAGGGCCCACCCACCCGCTGCTGAGTGCAGTCCCAGGTGCAGCCCAGGGCTTAGCCGCAGGGCCTCCAGTGGCTTCCAGCTACCAGGCATGGAAGGAAGCTTCTAGCTGCAAGGCATGGCTCTTCAGGAGGACATTTCTCCCCCTCCTCTCTTCAGACTGGCAGGTGGTTTATGCTGAGTGCATTCAGAGATTGCTAGGTGTGTGGCCCTTGGCTTTAAGGATGTGTTTTACTTTTTCTAAAGAGTGCAAGTTCGGTCTGACTGCCGTCCACGAGAAGGTGAACTCTTTGGTTTTTGCAGCTGTGACTGGAAGCTATCCAGGGCATCACAAGAGCAGATGGTTCAGCTTGGTACCACTGCCGATTGGGCCTGATGATGCTCTGTTTGAGATGCCCTGTGCTCAGGGGATGTTCGAAAGCATCCATGGTCTCTGCTCACTGTTGACTGGTGGCACCCTACCCCTAGTTGTGACAGCTGAGAGCATCTGCTAGAACCACTCTTAGAGCAGTGGCAAACAAAATCAGCTTCTCCTTGGGGCAGTAAGGTGCACAGGCCTGGCCCTGCAGTAATAGTGAGGCTGTATCATAAAAATGCATAAATACTAGCTTGATGTACAACCCAGCTTGTGCCCAGTGACTTATTATAACAACCTGATTACAGACTGTAGCCACGTGTACAGCCGAATGGGTTAGATCCTGTTGTCCTTATCGTGTAGTTAAAAACTGAATCTGAGACCTCAAGTGGTTCGTACTCCCAACAGGTAAGTTTTGCAAGGCAGTTGACTATCTCGTTACTCTTCTCATCCAGTGCCTTATATCTGGCTTTCGTCTTGTTTTAGTCCGATTTTTCACCACCGTGACCGAGAGACCCTACCAGAAAAATTGTAGAGGAGGAAAAGTTTATCTGGGGGCTCATGGTTTCAGAGGTCTTAGGCCATAGAAGACCAGCTCCATTCCTTGGGGCTCAAGGTGAGGCAGAACATGATAGCAGAAGAGTGTGGCAGAGGCAAGCAGCTCACAGGATGATGAAGAAGCAGAAAGACACTCTACTCTCCAGGTACAAAATACACACCCCAAGCCGTGCCTCCAGTTCCCACCTCCTCCAGCCACTCCCCACCTGCCTCCAGTTCCACTCAGTCAATCCCTATCAGGGGATGAATTCATTGATTGGGTTAAAGCTCTTGTTGTCTCACCTGTGAGCTTCTGGGGACCCGTCACATCTAGACCATAACAGGTCTTCCTTCCCAGTTTTGTCTGAAGCCAGAGGCAAACTTTTGTCCTGGTGCTTGTTAGAGTCCTGCAGTTGCTCTTTCAGAGACCCACAGAGTGCAGTTTAAGACAATATTTGCCTCTCTCACAGTTCAGTAGGCCAGAAGTCCCAAATTAAGATGTTGGCAGTGTCCCCAGCCCCTCCAAAGGCTAGATAAGAATCAGGCTAAGGGCTTCTGTCATCCCCTGACTTGTAGACCCCTCCCTCTGCTCTCCGTCCATGTCTCCATGTGGCCTTTGTCTCTCCAGTGTCTCTGTGCCTCTAAATCTGCCTCCTCTTCTAAGGACACCAGGTATTACCAGTAGTTTAGGCCCCCTGTAACAGTATGGCCTTAACTTGATGACATCTGCAAAGACCTCATCTCCATGGAAGGTAACATGCAAGGTAGATCTATATTTTTTTAAATTAATTAATTTATTTGGGATGCCAGAGATTAAACCCAGGGCCTTCACATGTTAGGCAAGCACTCCACCACTGAGTATATACACCTCCATCTGAGGTCTCTCAGATTGCTTTCTGTCCACATCTTCTCCATTAAACTCATTCCTTCTCTGGGGTTTATTCCTTCTGTAGTGAAAGGCATCTCTGTCCACCTCGTTGCTCCACAGTAACCCTGGAAGACAGCCCGACTTTGTCCTGTCACTGTGACCCTTGCCTAGTCACACCATTCTTACAAATGGCTCATGAAATAGCTTTTCTCCATCTGTTGCCACCACCCTGGTCCCGGCCCCTTGAACTCTTCCTATGAGACACACCCAACTGGATTCATGGTGCCACCCTCATCCGTTTTACATCCCACGGCCAGGGAACCAATTTAGAAGACAAACCTAGCCTCGTGCGGCAGTGCACACCTCCAGTCTCAGAGACTAGCCTGGGCAACTGAGCAAGATCCTTTCTCAAAATAAAATAAAAGGGGCTGGAGCTGTATGTGCTCAGTGGTGGAGTGCTTGGCTAACATGTGAAGGCCCTGGGTTTAATCTCCGGCATCCCAAATAAATTTAAAAAACATAGATCTACTCGTCTGTCCCTGGCGAAACTGCCTGGCGGTCTTAGCTGGCCTTTTGTAGGAAAGCTTCAGGCCACCTCTGCCTTGGGCAGTTCCTCACCGCCAGCAGCACCCAGCCGAGGCCTGCTCTGAAGGGTGCGCCTGGAGCCGGGAGGCTCTGCCTGCAGGTCGCTTGCTCACTGGCCGCAGCAGGAGGACTGACACTGACCAAGGGAAGTGGGCTGCAGGCCTGCAGCGGCAGCTGTTTCCTTTGAAGTGAGTGCGCGCGTCACCCTGTTCATCCTGAAGGCCAAGGGCCGGTGCTCCCAGAGCTCTTCCTGCTTCCCAGGCTGTTGGAGATGGACATCTGTGCAGAAGGGGCTCTGCGGTCACGGCTGGAGCTATTAGTATCTGTCCAGCTTTGCCACCCTGTCCTGCTCCTTGCCGTCAAGCCCTCGTGCCCAGGTCCGGGTGCATCTTGACTGACCCAGGACGAGTGTGGCTGCTCTCTTCCTTT